CCCAAACCCCACCCCCTCATCCCCTGACATCGGAGGCTGGCCTCTGGTGACGCCGCGGACCATCAGGATTTGCATTCGAACGGAGGACCTGGAGAGACCCTTAGCCCGGCCCGGGTCCGAATTTCCGAAGGTGGAACCCTGAGCCGGCGTTTCCTGCGGTCTCGCAGAGCTCACTGCTGGCGCATCTGCCTGCCCTTGGCCTTAAGTCGTGTGAGGCGGTTTGAGTGAGTAGCTCAGAGTCCCCGGAGCTCCTGCATTAGTCCCCTCCTAGATCGAGCTTGAAGTCGGGGGCTCCAGCCCGGGAGCACCCCATGCCCATGGGAACTGCCTTGGCAGGTTCTGGCTCATGCAGACCACCTTTGCCGTCCTGTTCTGGGGTCCAGAGTGGCGTGGAGAGAGGGTGCCTTTTGTGTGTAAGCCGTGGAGAACAGAGGGCGGCCACTGCCCTTCATCCTTAGCGTTGACCAGAACCTCTACCACACAAGCCACAGAGAGCGTTTTGTTTTGTTTCTTAAAAGGAAGTGGTTTCCTCCCTCTCAGAAAGTGTTTATGGGGGACACGTGTTTCCCACCCACCTCCTTAAAAGATCAGCTTTAAAAACTTCGTCTCCGAGTAGCTTGTCTGAAGCGCACAGGGTCGCTTTGATTATTTACAGCGGTGCTTCGGCTCTGGAGTGACCCTTTCTATATGACTCTGGCCATTCCTTACTTTTGAGTCTCATTATTTTCATCTCCGAAGAGTATAAGGAACTTTCTAGGAGGCACAGATCACCAAGCGGTGAGTGTGAGGGTGGGACTCGAGAATGCAGATTTCCCAGGTCACTCGTAAGAGCTGGCCAGGCCGGCCAGGCCGGGCTTTGGGGAAGATGGCTGTGAAAACGCGCATTGTACGATCTCATAGAGACGCCCTAGTGGGGTGTTTCCCATCTTGCCCCCGTTGACAGTAGAATGAAACTGGATATTCTCACACTTTTCCCCACCGGAGCGAGGTCCAGGGGCGCCTATTAAGAGCCATTTTAAAAAAAGTATATCTTATGTACTTGGGCTGTGCCCATAACAGGGTTTAAACCAAGTGATTAGCTCCACTTCTGCCCTCTCGGTGGGGTTGGTGGCCAGGGCGGGGGTGGGGAAGAGAGGTGGAGGTAGGAGGGGCAGAGGGAAACTGGACAGACCTGAACTGGCCACAGCTTGGAGCTGCCCGGGGCCAGCTCCCTGCCTCATTGTTCTGCTGAGAAGTGAGCCAGCCTCTTCCTCCGTGTCACAGGCTCAGGCGAGGACATGCGAGGCTCCCTGTGACCTCAGAGGGCTCCACCAGGTCTCAGTGGAATGATGTTCAAGGCACTGCCCAGACTTTGGAGGCAGAGACCTCGTTACGCTGAGCTCCTAATGTCCCGCATGGGAGGGCAGTGTCTTTCGAGGTCTTAACCGCGCTTGCTGTGAGCTTTTACAGGCACCGGCTCTCACTCATTTAAACCAACCCTTTTCTCCGAAGTCACCATCGCAGAATTGTTTCTTGAAGGATATTTAGGCCTAAACAGAAGCCCACTCATTTTGAGCAGAATTTTAGTAACATTTTCTAAATCTAGAGATTTGAACAAAAACAGTTGGGAAAAACTGTGGACGTGTGTTCAACAGGTCTCGTGGGCGCTTGCTCTGTGCTGGGTTGTGACCCAGGTAACGGGAACGGGGCAGTCCCCCGCAGTCCCGTCCTCTCCCAAGCTCACTGTGAGAATGACGCCAGCTGCTACTCACTGAACGTCTGCCCCATGCCAGGCTGGTGCTCATCCCTGCGTCTTAGCTGGGGAAGGTGAGGGAGCCCAAGGTCAGCCATGGGGCCAGGTGACACTCCAGGTAGAACGAGTAGCTGAGACATAACGCGATCGGTAAGGCCCCTGGGAGCAGAGGTGGGTCCTGGCTGGAGCAGAGGGCCCTCCACTCCCTCCCTGGGGGGAGATGGAGGGGTGGAGGGCGGGGGGTGAAAGCAGGGCAAGGATTTTTATTTATCTTTTCTAAAAATCGTGTAAAGGAAAATCATTGAAAAGGGTGTGTTTCATTGAGCGCTCGCTCTGTGGGGAGGGCAGTAGCGGACGTGGGGACGTGTCCTCCCTGGGTGGACTCAGGCCTGTGCCGTGCAGGTAAGTCCTCCAGATTGGCACTGCTCGCCAGGGCGTGTCTGTTACCCCAGGAAGTTGTTCGAAGGCATTAAATAAATGTCAGCTTTTTTGAATCGGATTAATATTTATTCAAAAGTACCTTTAAAAAAAATTATAACCTATGAATCTTCAATAAGTTTAAAACAACAATCCGTGCTGCTGGGTGTACTGGGAATCGTGTGTTTAACACATTGGTCCAAAAGATTCCTCATTGCAAACGTAGAAGAAAAACTGAAAAATAAGACAAGCCCCAAGGTGGCCTTGGGACAGGAGACCAGGCCCACCTGGCGTGCCCGGCCCCGTCCAGCCCACTCCTCCCTCCTCCGCTCTCTGCCTGTGGCCCTAACTTCAGGATGGGGTCCCTTCCCATGGCCTCTGAGGAACGAAGAGGCAGGTAGGAGGCGCAGTTCGTCCCCGTAGCGCTAGGCGCATTTCGAGTCAGTTGGGAAGCCACAGAGAGATGAGTGGCGTGGGGCCTGCCGTGCCGTCTGGTCCGGGCCCACGTTCCTCTCAGTTCTCGCGGCCCTAACGCGGCCTGGGCCGGGGTGGGTGCACCGGACAGTCGGGCTCCCTGGCGGCTCTGGCAGTGACCGCGGGCGGAGCCGCCTCGCGTGAATGTTCGTGAATGCCAACATTCGTTCTGTGGGGCGCTGCGGTTTAGGGTGTCTGGGCTGGTCTGTGGGAGCCTTCCAGAGGGAGACAGCTCGGGGGCTTGAGAACATCGTGTGAAATGCATGTTCCTGATCACTGACCAGGCGCCCCCAGGGCAGACACTCTCCCGCCACCTGGTGGCCCTCGCGGTGGCTGCGCCCTGTCCCTGGCAGGCCAGCTGTGAGCTGGGCTGGGTGACAACCACAAAGGGTTCCCTCTGCCGAGGACTCCATGGCGCCATTGTCAGAACACCTGACGTTTCAACTCCTCCTCCTCCTCTTAGAGACCTGAGCCTCGCCGGAAGGAAGAGGGGACAGGAGACGCAGCAGGCCATCGCTCCTCACTCTCTCGCTGTGCAGAGCAGGGGCCAGGGAGCCCCCCGGAGCCGGGAGCGATAACCTCTGCACGAGGCGTCGGACTCGAGACCGGGGCTCTCGGCGCTCAGTGCGTAAATGGCTCGGCTCCCCGCCGGCATCCGCTTCCTCGTCTCCTTCTCCAGGGACCAGTGGTAAGTCCCCGCGGCTCCGGCGAGGTGCCACATGTCCACGTGCGGCGGGGGCCACCCTGTGCAGGCTCTGTCCCCCACTCCCTTATCAAGCACGCGTGGTCCCGACCTCCCGAGGCTGCTGAATTGCTCGCCAGTGGTGGAGCCCGTGGCCATGAGCGCTGTCGAGCTGTCAGACGTCCGGTCCTGGGGTGGCAGCATTGGGACACCTTCCTGGTCCTCAGCGGTTTCTGTAACAGTTGTGGTCCCCACGGGAAAATGACCGCTGACTCCGGGCGGGACTGTGCAATGGCTGTGGGTGAAATAAGGGTGTTAACTCTGAGCTCAGTAAGTGGCCTGACGGGGGCAGAACTTCCAGAGAGAAAAGGAAATCGTGACAAGTTCGGTGCCGACCAGAACCCCACGTCCCGAGGGCGCCTCTGCTTGAACACTGACCGGATGGCGAGGGCGGAGTCCAGCTCCCCGGCCTCTGAACCCCGCTCCCCGGCCTCTGACCCCTGCTTCTCCATCCACCTCCCCCCCCGATCTCGGGGGACAAGGAGAGGGTTTTGCTCTGCCCTCTTAGGTTCAATAATTGGGGGCATGCAAACTAAAGCGACAAAAGACAGATTTAATCACGTATGTGTGCGAGTTCGCGGAAAAACGTGACTCAAAGGGGCTGTTGGGATTTGGGGCTCGTGTACCGTCTCGATGGGGGGAGGGGAGCGGGGGGAGTTACGAGAAAGCAGACGGCCTCTGAGAATGGTGGGCGGGCCCCTGGAAGAGCAGACGGGAGACATGGCAGTGTCGCAAAAGGGTCTGTGTAGGTGCGTGGGTGCCTCTCACTGCTCACACGTCAGTCCCCAGGGAGGGGTCTGCGACAGCCGAGTTCCTGCAGGGGGCCCTGCCCTGGGGCGGAGAGGAGGTTTCAGGAGCGAGTGCTCCCCGTTCAGCATAACTTTTATGCCCCGGTGGGGTTTCCTGGACGCCTCTTTCTCCATCGCGACAGCGCTTTGCGGCTTCTCAGCCCCTGCTGGTTGGTGACGCGCCCGCCGGGGCTCAGGTGTGGGGCTCGGGTGTGACTTGAGGCATCGTCTTTCCAGAGCAGTCGCTGTTGCCTCCTTCCACCTCCTTCCACGTCTCCTGCTGAGCCACAGGGTTTAAACACTTACCTTTGGGGATGTTTATCTCCAACTTCTTTGTTTGTTTTATAACTTTATTTTGATACCATTTTAAAACTCACAGAAGAAAATTGTAAGAATGTTAAGAAACTGCAGAACTCCTGATGCGCAAATTCTTTTTAAGGCTGAGACTTGCGGAGAGGGAGCGGCGCTTCTCGGCCTCGCGGTGTGCGCGAGTCACCCCGGGAGCCTGATAAGCGCAGACTCTGACTCGGTGGGTCCGGGGGGCTCCCGAGCACCTGCGTTGTCCAGGAGATGCGGTGCCCTCGGCCAACTGACCTCACTTCGGGGCCGGGATACAGAGTATTCGTCCTAATTCTGTCCCATCTCTGCCTCCAACTTGCTCCTCGACTTTTAAAAGCCACGTAGCCTTGTGAGAACTCGGCTCTCTCAGCCGTAGCCGAGGGGCTGGCGTCACGTCCCCGCCCGCCATGAGGACTGGCTCTTCGATTTTCATTTGGGGATTGACTTCCGTCCTTTGCACGTGGCGGCAGCGGTGGGCGAGTCTCCAGGCTTCGCACCGCACCACGCTGGCCGCTGGGGGCCCTCGAGGCTCCGTTCCCTTGACCTTGCTGGAACGGCACAGGCCAGCAGGAGGCCGTTCGGGACCTATGGCCAGCGGCTGCTGGCCTCTCTCTCTGGGGCCTTCGCATCTGGGGTGGAGTGATCCCAGGGCAGAGGGGCCGTTAGACTCATCTCGTCCGGCTGCGGGGCCTGGGCTCAACCACAGACGGATTCTTAACATTGTGCCTCACTCGCTTCTCTGCGTGTGCGTGTGTGTGCGCGCGCATGTGTGTGCGCGTGTGTGTGCGCGCATGTGTGTGTGCGTGCGTGTGCGTGTGCATGCACATGCGCGTGCACACACACTTTTTGAGAGTAAGTTGCACACACTGTGCCCTTTTATTTCTAAACACTTCGTGTGTATTTCCTCTGAACGAGACATCGTCACGTGACTGCGCACGGAGCCGAGAATCGGGGAATGTCACACCGATCGGGCGCTGTTACCTTTCTCGCGGGCGCATTCAGAACTATTTCAGACGTCCAGTAACGCCTCTCGTAGCCTGCTTCCCGGCCCAGGACCCAGTCCAGGGTCAGCCGCCCTGTGGGGTTAGTCTCCTTTCATCTGGTGCTGCTTCCCAGCCTTTCCCTGTCGTTGATGACCTTGACAGTTTGGAAGGGTGGAGGCCATTTCTTTATAGACTGTCTATTGTCTGGGTGTCTGGGATTTCCTCGTGATTAGACTGAGATCATGCCTCTGGTCAGGAACACCCCAGGAGGGAGATGGCCTCTCACTGAGGCGAAGGCCTTACGAATAGGGGGCGGGCGTGTTCTGAGTGGAGCAGTGTAATGTATGGGCATTAAGACACCAGAAGAACCGGAGAGCAAGTGGGAGGAGACAGAAATACATAGTTGTTTGTGTGTGCGTGTGGTGGCGGGGCGGGGGGGAGGAGGCGGAGGCCCAGGGAAGGGGGCCGAGACCCAGGAAGGAGGCCGAGACCCAGGGAAGGGGGCTGAGACCCAGGGATGGAGCCGGAGGTCCAGGGATGGCTGTTCGGCTCAGGTAACCTAGCCGGCCTGGACCATCCCATAGCGCAGGTATACTAGGGCCTCCGGGCTCTGCAGACGTCGTCTGGGGATCTAGAGGAGCTCACTATTTCTGGGTTATTTATTCTATTTTGTTAATATGTTACTACATCTAATAGAAATAGAATACTTATAAATAGAATGTTCTATTTATGTCTTGGTGGAGTGCAGAGAACATGAACCCAAGGCCCATTTAAGTAGAGCCACTCCCAGAATCCCCCTCAGCTGGGCGATTATGAGACTCCGCTGGTCAAGCACATACCTGTCAACTGGTGGTACGTGGCACCCTTGAGGCTCCAGATTCTTCTCAGATGCTGACTGAGGAGGTGTGGAGGCGACTCGGTCTGAGAACTTCTCAGAAAACTCCTTACAGAGATTGCAGACGGGAGCCCTGTACCCAGACAGGGGCAGGTCGGGGTCCCCTCCCGGCTGCACTGGGTCGCAGTGAGGATGGACGTGACCAGCGAACCTGCCTCTGGGCTGGGGATTTGGGTATTGAGGGCTCGCAAAGGCCAGTGGTGCAATTTATAGAATCCTGGGGCTATTGACTTCTGCTGGGGGTCACGGGTGGTGACACAGAGCTTCACGCAGAGAGTCGAGACTTCCACTCCCTCCCGGGCAGATGGTTTTCGGAAACGCGGGGACAGAGGCCGGGGCGTTGTGTCGGATCCGGCGTACCCACGTCATCTTTGTTCTTGGGGGTACACCGTGCACTCATTTTTTATGGTTTCACTTTTGTCCCGTCTGGTGTTGGGTGTGAGCGGCTTGGGGAGCGAGGGATTCTGGAGGGGCCGTCAGTGCGCGTGTCCTTGATGAAGAGACGCGGGACACGTCTTAGTCGCTTATCAAGTGTGTGTCGAGAGCCTGGCGAGTCGGTTTGGCGTTTTCCTCTCCCTGGGGTGTGGGTCTCCTGGCGGGTGTAGATTCGAGCCCCACAGTCCCACCAGCTCTTCCCCCCCCCCGAAAGAGCCTCTTTCTTTATTTTTAAAATCGAGACGTATTCGCTGGACCCGTGGTGTCCAGAGAGGCATGCAGACCTAGGGTTCTTTGGGTCATTCGCGGAAAGGTGCCCTTGAGTGAGTAAATCACACTAAAACCGTGGGCGTGAGCCGGGAGGAGGCTCAGCACCCCAGGGAGCCGGCCGCGGGCACCTGCAGACGGGGAGCACCTGCCTGTCCCTGCTGTCACTCCAGCGCCTTTGCTGGAGGGTCTCCTCCAGTCACGCCACCGCTCAGCTGGAAAGCCATCGGCCTTTTGGGGCCAGAAACAGGACGGGCTTTTCCGGGCGAGGGCTGGGCCTTGGGTCACAGAGAGGACCCGCCT